ACTTAAATCTATTTTCTATTCAGTTGAGGAAGGCTCACTGACCACAGACACCACAAGACGAAAACGCTGCAGCATAACTCCGTCTGAAAAAAATCTTATTGTGGAGGCGTATCAAGCTTGTACAGGATGGACCAACATTCTGGATTACGTTAAGACACGTGTTGGAGACTTGCCTGGATATATAGAAAAGACTATAGAATACTACGACAAAACGAATAGCAAGGCCGACATCAAAAGGATAAAGAGGATTATCAATCAACAACGCAAACATTCCCAAATTCGCAAGCCAAACCAGTCCTCATCCATGCTGTCAACAATAAATAATAAAGATATGCGATATGCCACAAAACAGACTCCAGAGCAGCGAATAAAACAAAAACTAGCAATAGCTGCAGCCAATGTAAGCAGTAGCACCGACGACGAAATGATAATGGGTCCTAAAGAGGATGATGGCGAATGCACAAGCGGTTTGGAAATGCAAAGACCAGCGAATAATACACCACAAGCACCCAACAGCAGCGGAAACGAAATGAACGTTGACGTCAAACAAACCAAACCCCAAAGAGTTGACAAGAAAGACGACGAGAAAGAAGAAAAGACGAAAGGGCCGCATATGCAGCACATACAACAATGTGCAAGAAGGCCCTCGTGATGATGGACAAAATAGATTCTTTAATTACCAAGTTAGATAGTTCAGATTCTGACTAATGTAGTAATGAGTAGTGTGACTGAAAAGTTGAATTGAGGTTGTGTGTGTGTAAGTGAATACAAGAAGAAATGATGTGTTTGAGGAATAGTGGTTTACACATTTACACTGTTTTTCTGAATTGTAGTTAATTTAACAATAAAATGCCGAATTAAATGAAGCGAGGCAAAGTGGTGTGATTATTTGCATCGTATTACCATAAACAAATGACTTAATTATCACTGTTTGTGGCTCATTATCATATGGCTTTGGCTTATGCGAAAGATGTCTAATAAGCCGTCAATATTTATAATATATGCACCCTGTCAATATTTTACGCATGCTTGCGTTCAGCTTAGTGCTACATTCAAATTCTAACAATACGTATATTCTCATCATGAATACCTAAAGAAAGTGCTAAGTGTCGTCCATAAGTCTGTTAATTTTCAATTCATGCATGGGTACGCATGATAATTAAAGTGCAAGTGAGAATAGTTTTGGGTTTTGGGGGGCACCCTGTATAATAGGTTATATTAAATATATGAAACAATGGCATGAGTCCTGGCGCATTCTCTTTAACAAACGGATATTTTAGGATAGCTAACTTCTTTTCAAGGTTTTTATCAATATATGCTTTGACAATTGAGACGTTCTCACAAAAGCCGTTCATGGCATACATTTTAATTAATGCGTGCCATGACATATTCCCGTGGTTTTGTTTCGGGTTTTGGTACATGCCACTTACGTTGGCATGCACGTGGGGCTTGACGGCTTGTTTGCGCAACAAAACAATGAAGAAAACTCCCAACGGAAATAAGCCTATCCCGATTGATATTCTCATCCATTAAAGAACGAATAATATAATCTACAGAGGAAAGGATATATACAAGGTGAGTAAAAAAAACTGATACCTTCGCGGCTAATTTGAATAACAAAGGTGTCAGTTTTTTTTACTCACCCTGTACTTCAATCAAAGCGACTATTGCTTGGGGGACAAGAAGAGACCCATGTAAGACATGTAATTTAGCATGCATTGGCAAAATACTTATTTAAGTTGATTTAGAATTTAGTCTAGTAATGTAGTTGATATTTTATTTTTTTAATG